TTTTATTTTATTTATATTATTTTATTTTATTTATATTATTTTACATTATCTTATAATATTTCCTTGCAACCTAATTTATAAAAATATAAATAGAATTTTTTTTAATTTATTATATTATAAAATATCTACAGCTTGTTAAGAAAGTTTATGATATGCATTTCAATATTTTTAAAATATTTATTTCATTCTAGAGAGCTACGATACCATTTAAAAATGTGAAACAAAGACATTTCTCATTTTTAAGTTAAAATTTATATTAAGTAATATGTCAAATGAATAACAGTTTTGTCCATGAATATTTTATGAATTTTAGTTCTGGTAGAGATAAAGTATTAATATTATGGGATCTTATTAAAAAGATTTCACTACGTATTTTACCAGTATTTGAATGTATTGAAGGCGCATTTATTATACCAAATACTGCAAATCTACCTATACCTAAAATTAAAACTAAGTCATCCATTTATGCTGCAAGTGCAGGTGAAAATGGTTAGAAAATATTCTATGTAGTATTCTATTTCTTTACTTTACTTTAAAATGATAAATATAAGGATGTTACTCAAATACTGTTTTTTGTTTTGCAGGTATTGTAAAAATTTGGGAAATGAAATCTGGGCGTATGCTTTTTCATCAAACAAATTCTTTAATACCAGCTGCTAAAGAAGAAAACAGCTTAGCTGTAAAACATTTGTTATACAATGCAAAAGATAACAATATTGGGCTTGTATCAACTAATCATAATATTTTAATTTATACTTTAAACAAATTTGAGTGCAAAAAACAAGTGTGTATTAAACGACGTATATCATTTTATATGTAAATCATAAATTAATGTTGATACTTATTATTCAGTTAATAGGCTTTATAGATGAAATTTTAGATATAGTTTACTTAGGAAGTGGTGAATCACATTTAGCTGTAGCAACTAATACTTCTGATATCAAACTATATGAGTTAACAACAATGAACTGTCAAATTTTATGTGGACATACAAATATTATATTATCACTTGGGTCCAGTCAGGCTAATCGTAATTTACTAATTTCATCAGATAAAGTAATAATATTTATAAAAACATTATTTGATACACAAATAATCTCTAATATTTTTATTTATAAAATTAGGATAAATGTGTGAGATTATGGCTGATGGATGAGAAAACAAAGATTGTTAATTGTATAGCTTTGGGAATTAAACACACAGCAGCTGTAGGCTGTGTTGCTCTTTCTCAGATTGAAATTAAATTCTTTGTATCCGTGAGTCAAGATTTCTGTCTTAAATTATGGGATTTACCTGAAAATTTATCATATACAGGTAAATATTATACAATGATTAAAATTAATTAAACTGGTAAATGTTATAAAATACTAATTCACAAAAATAATGAGAATTGTTAATTACCTAAAATCAGTACCTATTATTTTTAAAGATTTAAAATTATAGTGAAATAAAAGAAAATATTAATTTATTTATTTAAATTTAAAGGCACAGAAGTTTCTCTTAATGCTATAAATACTGTTATGGCACATCAAAAAGATATAAATAGTGTAGTTGTATCACCGAATGATAAATTAATTGCTACAGGTTCTCAAGACAAAACTGCAAAGGTAATATTAAAAGTACAAATAAAATTTCTTAAAATGTAGACATTTTTAATCTTATTTTGTAAATACTGATGATTTAATAAAACATTCACATTTTATTTATTGATTTATTATTACCAATATACATATTTAATTTTTAATCAATATTTTAGTTGTGGTCTGCTGAAAATTTACAACAGTTAGGGGTTTTTCGTGGTCATCGCAGAGGCGTCTCGTGCGTGCGGTTTTCTCCAATAGATCAAGTTCTGGCAACCTCATCTGCTGATTGCACAATTAAATTATGGTCTTTGAATGAACTGAATTGTTTAAAGGTAGTTTATATTTTTGCTAATTAAAATAATTGAAAATGAATACCCATTTAATTTTTACGCCATAAAATTTTTAAATATATTTTTATAGTTTATATATCATTTTTATTGTTGTTATTTATAATAGAACTGAATTAATAAGATATCCTAATTATGACGAGATACATTTATTCTACTGTAAACAGTACTTTTAATGATCTGTCTGGTATAAAAAATTATGATTTATTTTAATATTTAATATTTTTAATAAAATATTGCACAATCACTATAATTTGTACATGATGTGTATAGTGTACTATCCAGTATATAATATAAACAATGTAATGAATTTTAATGGCTTATTTATAAATACTGTCACTAATTTTTCAGAAGAGAAGCAATATACACTATCATTTTTGTGTATCAATTTTAAATGTGTAATGATTTTATTATATTATTTTATTTAATAAGAAATATTATTGAATATCGTAGAAATTCTTTAAAATATAATATATTCTTCTATATAAAATAATTTAAATATGCATCATTGAATTAGTTATGAAAAAATGTTTATAAAATCAGATTAAAATTGATAAAGTATTAATCATCTGTTTAATGCATCATTATGTTAAAAGCATAATATTGTGGTATATAATTTTATCTAAGAATCATTAAAAATTAATTTTTGATTATTAGACATTTGAAGGAAATGAATCTACTGTATTGAAGATGGAGTTTTTGTCACGAGGTATGCAAATTATCTCATCAGGAGGAGATGGTTTACTTAAACTATGGAATATAAAATCGTCAGAATGTATTACTACATTAGATCAACATAATAGTAGAGTTTGGTCACTTACAGGTAAATTATGCCTTTCTTCTTGAATTATATTATATTTAATTTTAATATATCTTTTATGTTTTAGTTATTATATTATTAATAATTTCTAATTTACTTTTTTCTTCAAGTTATTAATATATTTATGTGGTTGATGGTTTCGAAATTACTATTAATATACTTTTACTTATATTATTAAATTTTTTTATATAGTAAATAAAGACGAAACTCACTTTGTGAGTGGTGGAAGTGACTCCTTATTAGTAGTTTGGAGGGATGTAACACAAGAAAAAAAAGCTAAAGCATTAGCTTTAAAAGATGAGTTAGCAAGAGATGAACAAAAATTAGAAAATTGCTTGGAAGCTAAAAAATTAAAGAAAGCATTAAGATTAGCTTTGAAATTACAAAAACCTATGCATGTATTACATATAATTGAAGGTAAATAAAGCATATTTTTGTAAATTTAAACTCATCATTGAACCAGATTTATCACTAATTAAATTTTTAGCATTAATAAGAAAAGGAGATGAAAATATGACAATAATAATTTGTGGTTTGAAACCATTGTATCAAGAAGAATTGTTGAAATGCGCTATGATATGGAACACTAATGCCCGTAATTTTCAATTAGCCCAGGTATTTATTATAATTATCAAATAATAACTTTATTGTTCACTTAAATGAAATAATATTAAATTCTAAAAAAGAAAATTTTATTAAAATATTAAATTATTATGTCAAAATATGTACTATATGTTTCAGCTTGTTATAAATGTAATTTTAAATGAAATTGGATTAGAGAATCTTCAAAGGAATGATTTAAAAGGAAAGTTAGAATCAATAATTCCTTATACAAATCGACATTTTAAAAGGCTGACACAATTATATCAAGATTTACATTTTTTATTGTATACAATAAATAATATGAAATCTTGTAATACTGCACAGAAAACAATCGAAATATAAATATATGTATATAATTTTAAGGTATTCTATAAAATTAATGTATTTTATATAATAAATACTTTGTTTATTTCTTATACTAATATCATTATTGTAAATATAAAAATATCAAAATTATAATAAATCATTTATCGAAAATTGTAAAAGATTATCACTGAATTCAATATTATTGATAAAAAAATATTGTTATTCAGAATGTAAAAGTATTTTTTCCCTAGGTCATTGATGTAATATATATATATAAATTTATTTGAGTGAAATATAAAATGAAATATGAAAATGAATTACTGAAAATGGATTTTTAGCAAAATCAAATTTATGTACTTGACATAATTTAACACACTGTATTATTATATTTTATTTTATTTTTGTTTTATATAATAACATCAACTTTTATTTAATTGTTAAAATGAATGAATTTGTCATAATGGTAACATTTAAAAATAAGTTGTATTAAATTATATTTTGATATGTATTTTAATTAAATTAAGAAAATAATATTTTCTCCATACATAATATTTACATTAAAAATAATTATATATGACATGCTTATTTAAGATATAAACATTTTTAATTAAAAATTATACTTTGATAGAGAAAGATTTAGATATTAATAAATTAAATCAATTTCTGTTCACTTTCTGTTGATAATATCTCCAAAAAATGTTTAATATATAATATTTTGTATTTACAATGATATCAAATAATAAAATTAATTAAAAATTGCTTTTAAGTTTATGGATTTGACATTAAAATGCTAAATCTTAGAAAAATGTTAGCACATGTAGATTTATTTTCAAAGTATTTTATATATCAATAAGAATAAAATATTGTTTGTCATTATAAAATTGTTATTTTATTTTTTATATATATTTAAAATATAGTTAAAAAAAATAAAGTATAAATATTTTAATTTTAGTTTTAACATTATTAAATTTGTTGAAATTCAAACAAATTTAGTTTCAAATATGTGAAATACTATAGAAAATACTTAATATTTGAATATGTTAAAGAAAGAATCAATTAAATATAATAATTTTTAGAACACAAATTATTTAAAAGTACTATAGTGTTAATTCTATTTGTAATCAAAATTGTGAAAAATATTAAAACGTCAAGTTTATAAAATATAATAATTTGAAGTCTGTTTCCTTTTAGTTCAATATTATTTAAAAATATATTGTTAAATAGTTATTCAATTAATTTTGAAGTCTATATTTCTAATTTAAAATATAATTGAGTTTGTATCATTGTCCTTTCAAAATTCGTATAATCATACATCTGCAATTTATTTGCAAATTTTAATCATTAATAATGAATTTTGAAAAAATTTAATGAAAAAAAAGGAAATTTATTGTGATTCTTTTAAGATCAACAGATTTATGACTTGTTAGTGAACTTATGAATTCGAGCAATTTTCATACACTAATTTATATACTAATTTAGGACGAATGTGTGATTTATTTTTTATTTATATTTTATAAGAGGAAAGCCAGCATAAATGCCACCGATACACTTACTGTTAATTCTCGGCAATGTTGTACTTATTAATTCGATAAGAATTGAGAAAATGCGATTTATGATAAGCAGCTGAATGAAAATGAAAAGAGGAAATCGTATAACAGTTTGTAATTTTAATAAAAAACTTACTTGCGAGGATAATAAACAAAGCAAGTTACGTTGAGAACAATCGCGACTGGAGAAGGGGATTGACATCGTTCTTACAATTCTCCTCAACAAGTAGATTAGTAGTAATTGGTACACGATTGCGTTAACCTGGGCACCATGAGCCCAAGTATCTCGTTCCTAGTCGATAGGCCGGTTGTAGGGATACTTATTTTTCTAATATGGACACATGCCGCCTTGACCCGAACTTCGAGTCAGTAAGTTACACTTTTTATTTCACGTATTTATATCTCGTCGCTTACAAAGGACACGAGCACGAGCAAAGCTTTTTACATATAATCTTTTGAAATCGAATGATTAGGAACATTGCCAATTTATTATTCATGATAAGGATTGCTGAATATTTATCATATCCGATTACCCTCTCAATGATTCTTGAAATCAAACAGTTATACTTTTGTTTATCTATTATCCTAGACTTCTTGCTAATACAAATTGAAGCAATAAATTAATTAGTCAAAATTAGATTTGAAAGTTTTTTTTTTAATGTTGAGTATGAAGTCTGGAAGATAAGATAACTTTCATATAAATTATTATGTCTTAAAATATACATTTTATAATAAAACTTAAATTTATAAATACAAGCATTTTATATAAGAACTCTTTTTTGTGTAAATTTCTCTGTTAGAATTTTTTTTATTTCTGTGATTTACTGTTTTTTGTATTATTAAATTTACATTTACATTAACTTTCTTCTATTTTAAAATATCTATAATTTAGATATGCAAATATATTATATTTTTAATTTCCTATATTAATTTGGATATAAAGTTTTATGAACATCTTCAAAATTTAAGCGGAAAACTTAGCTTATTCTACTGTATAATGTATTTTATACGTAAATATATTTTGTAAAAATAATTGTGAAACTAAGTTTTATATAATACTTATCACATAAGTATATATAATATATTTATATTTATAAGGTTTTGCAAAAACTAAAAAATATTTAAAAATATTATTTTATTTTTAGACTTTAAATTAATTTATTAAATTATAATATTAAATTAATTTAATTGTACCATTTCATAGAAAAATTATAATCAAATATATTTAAGTATTTCAGTCATTGTATAATTATTAATTTTTCATTTTCTATATATTTGAACATTTGAATATTAAAAAATAAACTATATTGCATGCAATTTATCTTATTTATCTATTTTATGCTATTATATATTATATTATATATTACATGTTATTATATTTATGCTATTTATCTACATTCATTAAATACTTGAAATCTTTTAATTATTCAAAATATATATATACATATATATTAATATATTTATGCATAGTATGTCTGTAAATCTATTTGTTTCTTCCTTTTTTTAAATTAGTTAATTGTTCTTATAACTTTAAATTAAATTAAAAAAAATATGCTTCCTACCTCTCAAAGTTTTTTGAATTCTTAAAATTGATTACATAATAGTATATATGCTCGTATGATCAAATATAAATAGTTTCATAATAAGGTTAAAGTAAGTATGGATCAGTTTTGAATATACTAGATAAGAAATAATGAATTACTATTGCCAGATTTATATAACTTCAATCATATTCAGAATATGAAAACCTTAACATTAATAAATGTATATTTTATTTTGATTGAACAAGTAATAATATTTACAATTTTTTTATCTTAATAAATTTATATTACATACATTTCGGCAAATTTAGTTATTATATACAAATATTATAGTTTAATATATTTTAATTTATTATTAATTAATTAATTAAACTATTTATTCGATTTTTTTAATCTCAGATTTATAATGTGTAACGTAGCAACTAATATATTAGTATCTCGAGAAAGACTTCTTCTATACATTCAACTATGTACGTATAAACATGAAAATATTTAAGTATCATTGAGGTTGCTTATATATCGATTAAATTTCTAGAATGTAATGTAGAATATCTATAATTAGATTTATTGAATTTGTAATATTCTATTATTAATTTATATATGGTAATATCATTACATATTTATTTTCCAAATTTTATAATATAATAATTGCTAATATTTAAATATTTTAAATAAAATTCTTAAATTTAAATAAAGGTGTTTTCTATATTTATAAATTTAATACGTAAATAAGTGTTATAAAAATTAATAATACAATACATTAATTTTATTATTAACAGCAATAAATAAATTTGTTAAAAATATAAGATAAGAATAGTAACATCAAATGTATAAACGTAATGTATTGTAACTTCGTAAAAGTCTCTTGTATAATTAAGTTGTATACTTAAGTGTTATATATTTAAGTTGTTTATTTAATTAAATTATATACATATTATAAATGTGTGTGTGTGTGTTTAATTTAGAAGAAAATATTAAAAATATTAATGTTATTAATTCAACATATAGCATGTTTATATGCATTCAATTATAATTATATAATTTTTAAGATTAATAAGCATTGATTACAAATTGAAATAATATTCTACATTTACGAAACTTTATTAAAAATTTATAAAAATTTCTTTTACATTTTTTACTTATAAAAAATATATATTTATATTATTAATATATATTTATCTACTTAATATATTGTATATTTTGAAAATAATTATTTTTAATTAGAAAGTATTATAAAATATGTATTGTTATATTTAATTATTCTATTAATTACATATATTTTACAATAATGTTCATATTTTCAACAAACGGAGATATTACATTGCATTAAGTTATATGTAATGCACTGATTTTTAATTTGACCAAAAAAAATCAGATAAGTTTTATTGTGTAAATCTTAAATGTATAGCTCTGTCATATGTCTCTTTTCTACCCCCCTTCGTCACACCTTAATATTTATAACAAAATAAAAGAGATAGAACAATAGAAATATGTATGTTACGTAACTATATAAAAGAAAAATTATTTGAAAGAAATATATAAAGCCACTAAGTGTACAAGACATAAGCCAAGTTACAAGCTTTTCAGTGTAGTGTGCAGCAGAAATATTGAAAATATTTTATTTTATTATATAATAAGCACGGCGATGATCAATGCCCTTTCTGGTGATAACTTTCTATATAATTACAATTTGTTATGCATAAGAGACAACAATTAGTTAATTGTCAATTAAAAGATTTTAAAAGGTATATTGAATACTTAAAATTAGATATTTTTCACTTGGAGTATTATTTTTTTTATATCTTTTATATTCTAGGAATTACGTTAACTATCACTCTAAAATTAATTATATAAATATTTATATTCTTATATTTTTTTGAAGACATAATTTGTATACAAAGGTTGAATTATAATATTATCATCGTGTTATGAATAATATTAGTCATTTATTACAAAGTTATATATTCAATGTACTTAAAAAAATATACGTACACATTTTTAACAAAGATATTTCTAAATGTAATTTTGATCGTTACTTTATTCTATTTGTATGTTTAACGAAATTATAATTTGTAATTAAATTTTTATTATAAAAGTTAGAATAAGAAAAAGTTTATAAAATTTTTGAGTTTTCTACTTAAAGATACTATCTAACTAAAATTTACTTTAAGTATAAACAGAATTGTTACTAGAATATTATATATTAATTTAATTTTAGTCAATATATTTTTAAACAATTTATTAATTAACTATTTTTGAAAATTTTAATATTTATTAACTACAAAATATGAACGTAGTTTTACATAAATCTTTTATACTATTGCATTTCTTATAGTGTTCCATTTGAAATTTCTTATTTATAAAACTTTTATTTTTTCATTATAATGCTTTTATAAATATAATTATATTTTATTTAAATCAAATATTATTGAACAAATAGATTGCACATATGATATGTTTTTATTATTTTGTCTAAGAATACATATTTGTATTTGAACGTATAAATTTATATCATTAATTTGCTACTAAAAATTCATAATAAAGTAAAAAATGTTTACAGGTTAAATATAATGAAGTTTTTTGATATAGATAATTTTAAAAATAAAATATTTATATTTTATAACAATTATAAAAATTTAATCATTTTAAATTTTATTTTTTTTATAAATAATAGAACGAAAAAACTGAAAAATTGTATACTTTGATTTAAAATGCTCCACTTTTTCATTTTTTATGAATTAAGATTAAGAAATTAAGGAATTAAGAAAACAGAATTACAGAGTACTTATTTTTCTATATGAAATTTTAATATTATAATTGAATAGTATAACATTATTAATATTATAATATTTATAAAAAAATTGGTTTTTATTATAAGAAATTGTCGTAATTCTATTATTTGCTTAGTTTAAAGTGAGGCAAATTTAACAATATAAATTGATACCTACCTTTTTAATATAAATTTAATATATTCTGAGTTTAATTACTAAAAATCAAAATAATTCTAACTGAAAGCATCATTATTTAAATATTAATGAAAAGTTACCTGAAAAAAGAATATAAGGAAACAAATATCTATTTTTAAATTAATCATTCCTATTCAGTTTTACGTACATAAACATACACAAACTTTTTATTGTATTTTTTATATGTTAAACTGTTAAATTAAATATTTTTTTTAATACAGATTTACTACTATTTTTAATTTAATAATAGTTTCAGGTGAAATATAATCTAAATTAATCAATAATTTGAAAAAATTATCTTAAGTAGATGAGAAAAAAGTGAAAATATTTTGTAATTGAGATTTCAACATGAGGCTCTGAAATAAATCTAATATATTTAGTTACATAGTCGCATACTAAAATTTCAAAAATAATTCACGCTGAAAATCTAGCATCATTTCTTGAAATTAAATTGGTTTCAGTTATATTAACTCAGTTTAAATTAAAATATCAAAGTTAATTTTGCACTAATAATTTATATTGATTAATTTTTGTTTAATTCAAACATTCAATTTTTATAAAAATGTTTTTTTATATTTATTATTAAATTCCATGAAACAATATTTTCACGTAATGAAATTTTAAAATATACTAAAAATGTATTAACCAATTTTTATTTTGTAAATTTTCAAATATATTTCATTACAAAACTTTAAATATTTATTTGTTTAATAGTATGAAAACTAGTTACATTATTTCTAATAGTTGGTTTTATTTTTAAAAAGAAATTTGATAATAAGCAGTGACATGTTTATCAGAATTATCTAAAATTCAACAATAAAGATTATTTGAATACTATATATATGTATATAACTACAAGCATCAAAATCTTTGCAATTTATTTTATAATTAATATATAAATTGTTTAAATAATATAATTCAATAAAAATGCTATCGAGTGCTGATATAAAAGATAAAAGAACAATTTATTCTTAAAGTAAATGTAGAAATTTAAACGAAAAAAATTTGTTATAATTTATTAAAATAAATTACAAATATAATAAAAATAAAATATTATTTACAAAATATTTGTTGTATGTACAATACCTGAAAATAATTTTATATTTAATAAACTATATGTTATGCTTATATACTTAAAGAAAACTATAATAAATACAAGTTAAGAATTTCGAAATTTTTTTTTTGAAAATACATGTATATGCTTAACTTTAATTTATTGAAAAATACATCAAATAAAATATGTAACATTTTATTAGTTAAAAAAAACTTTTAAAATGAAATTATTGTTAACCGATTTTAAAAGAATTTTTTACAAAAAGGTTTCGATTTGGACTTATGGCTGATTGAAGTCGTGTATCTTTTTTTAAAACACTTGTCTTGAAATTATTGTTGTTCTTTATTGTCTATATTATATAAATATATAATCTATACATTTATTATATATATATATATATATATATATATATATATATATATATATATATGCATATTTTAATATATACATTGTATATATTTCTTATAAGTACATCCAATTTAATTAAAATTAATAACATGCAATCGACAGAAACAAAGCTACAATAATATTTCTATGAAAAATTAATTTTATATTATTTATGGTATTACTTATATCATTTAAGATTATAGTGTAAATTCGCAATATATAAAAAGGAAAAAAAATTGAATGCAAAAGGAGTATACCTTTCTAAAAATAATTTCAATAATCTATTCTGATTAAACTACATCTTATCATTCCTTCGGAAAGAGACAATAGATAATATGTTTTGTAATTAAAATCATTTTAATTTTGCTGTAACGACCATAGGAAAATGGATGCGGAGTGAAAAGGATAGAGAGAGAGAGAGAGAGAGAGAGAGTGAGAGAGAGAGATGGTGAGTGTGAAAGACAGAGCAAGAAAGGGGTTACATGGCCTTGACGTGGTCTTGTATGTTTTTATCCTTCTTAATTTTTAATACACAAACGCAGTAATGAACATCTTGATGATGTTGAGAAAAGCTACAAAACATAATTTAATCATGAAAAATAATTAGCTTGTAAAACAGACAAACTATGTATTAATTAATTTAATTTGTACAAAGAAAGAATAAATTTTTTAAAATAAAATAAATTTAATAATAATAAATATTATTTTTAATAATATAATTGTAATAATATAATTGTTAATAAAACAATAATGTTACTAATTAATCTATTGTTATAATTTAATGATTATGGTATATTTTATGTTGTTGATTGCATAAGCTATTTTAATTTCTATCTATTTTATTAATCAATATTTTTATTTTAATTATATATTGCTTTATTTTCTGCTTATATTTACCTCTCTCTCACATACACACAAAGTGATGCATAAATATATACAGTACAATTATAGACAAATATTATATAAATAAAAATGTATTCAAAATATTTTAATAGTACTATAAAATATTTGAAATAAATGTAATATATAATATATAATAAAATAAATACAATATTATAAAATTTCAATTCTAAAATTTCTAAAAAGAAGTCTTTTTTAATTAAATTCTGAAATAGTATCACTCTGATAAAGCAATATACATTGTAAATTAAATCATTTTATTTATAATATTTTAAGGTTTATTATTTATTGCTCTCAAATTAAATAATTAATATGAATATAATGTAAAATTGTTTTATATTATTATTGGCAAGTAAAAAATAACATAATATTTATTAATTTCTGTTATTACAAAATTTGTCAGTCATTTGTTTATAATTAATACGTTTTATGAATGATTAACAGGTTTCGTCCAATTATATTGTAATCATATATTTAGATATTGATGTATAAATAAAAAAATTAATTGTAAATTGTTTAATTAAATTTATATATAATATATATTACGTGTGCATGCATTTATATGTACGTTGCATTCATATGCTTACAATTTTAATTGCATTTCCAAGGAAATTAAAATTTATATATTTATAATAGACTTGATAGTTGCCAAAATAAGAGTATCGTTGGACCACTCACACAACTGGAACTTCTGCAAGAATTGACAAAAGAGTGTCGTTATGATAAAATGGTTAGGCCTATGGGTGAATTGAGTGAACGAAACCCAGTGAGGGTTTGGTCAAGAGCTTATATCTACACTATTAAATCTAACATGGCTAAAACTCTGGTATTTTCAATTTTTTAATGTATTAATATTCCGCATTATTGTCTTTATTCTTAACAATACTGTATTTTATATCGAATTAATAAAAATTGCTATCTTTATTGGGAAATATAAAAATTTTATTGTAATATATAAACCAACATTATGACATGTATATTGGATTATAAATTTATAGCAGTTGCTTGTTGTTATTTTAAGTTTAATGTTGGATTTTGTATTGAGTTATACTTACAATAATATTATTAAAAAAATAAAAAATGTTTAATGTAGATATTTGTTCAGTTGTAATATATTCATTATGAAAAATTTAACTTTTAATTTAATTTAATTTAAAATTTTATTTTTATATTTATTGTTGTTGTAAGATTTATAGTATTTGAGCACCAATTTATTTATTAATTGGTATTAATTTATTTATATTTAATATTTATTTATTTATCAATTTTTATCTTCTTATATGGTGTACATTTTTGTTTTTTTATTTAAAGTGTACATCAGCTAACTTAGTTAAGGTAGATCAATTACAATATATTTGAAAAATAGGATTAAAATTTATTCTTTGAATTCCAATTTTTTCTCTGAAATATACTGTAATAACAAGTTGAATTTTCGATATATTCTGTATTTAGAATCAAGTAATAATATACTTATATATTTATAAATAATTTCATATTTTTTAAAATAACAAATTGGACTAATGTATTCCGTTTTTTAAGGTACTTTAATATATATAAGCTTTAAATTTTGTAAAACTTGTGCCTTAATATTTCTAATATATGAATAGTAATAACAATAATAATAAACATAGTTTTTTCACACATATTCGATGCTATTCGTATGCTTTATTCAAATTTAAAAGAGAATATTTAACTTCTGCAGCAATTTGATGTACACATGATGTTACAATTCCGATATTTGGATAACAGACTCCGATTTGAAGATATTGCACCACATCAGAATCAGATATTCGGTGGACAATCAGCACACGATCTGATTTGGACACCATCGGTTTACGTAGCAAATGAACGGAGTTCTGTAATTATGGGTAATACTGTCAAGGATCTTTTAATTTCAATCGATCCTTCTGGTATGGTTATACTGAACACTAGGTTAGTGTCTATTAAATTAAATTTTCTATTCAAAGAATAATTGAAATAGAATTCTCTAATTTTATTTAAATATGTTTGATAAATCTGTACATTATTCCTCTGCTAAATTATTATAAATTCTGTATGAAGAATTTTTATTAAAGTTTTATATATATTTTAAACCTACAAATTCGATGTGATCGTATTATAGGGTTCTTTTTGTAAAATATTAATTTTTATTTATAATTCAAATTTTCTAATATAAATATTTACAGTGGATTGATCATAAATATAAATTATTTTTAATTTATATTTGATATAGAGTCGTTATATCATTTCTTACATGATAATCAGAATACATTAAATCATTTAATAATTTTGTTTATATCAAATAAAATATTTATAAATTATTGTAAATTTTTTTTTAGATTTAGTACTTATTATCGTATTATAATGCGTAATATTATAATTTTCATTAAATTATGATCTATATTAAATTTAATTATTTATTTATTTATTTATTACAGACTAGAAGCAATTCTTAATTGTGGTTTGAGATTAGAAAAATTTCCATTCGACGTTCAGGAATGTCCATTGGTTTTCGAAAGTTGTATGGAAACATTACCTCGAATAAATATAACAGTTTTGAAAAAAAAATTAATATTGTTTATTATTACATTAATTTTTACTATCATTATTATTATTTTTATTACAGGGACGCACAGTGTTCAAGATATGGTACTCAATTGGGATGAGGCTCCCATTGTACTTGCTGATGAACTGCATTTAACAGAGTATCGTTTGGTAGATAAATGGGTAAACAGATCGGAAGTATCTTACACTACAGCGCAGCAACATTACGGACATTTCGGTAAATTATCTTAAAAATATTCAAATAGATAGTTTTTAAATATAATATAAATTTTAATAATTATTGGTTGTATACATTATTTAATTTTTAATTATTACAATAACTAAATAAATAATTGATATATTCTTATTTTGTACTTAAAATTATTTATGTTACATAGTAAATTAATTTTTTTGTAAAAGAATATTTTTTAATTTTTTTAAATAAATATGTTTAATATATAACTAACTTTCAAAGAGGTTATTTTTTCTTTTGTAAAAGTAGATTATTTTTACGGTTATGCATTTTTTATTAGAATTATATTTCATTTATATAATAAGAAATTGCATCTAGAATTCTATTCTATGCAATTAAACATATTTAAATATTATACAAGAAATTAACAGTATATTATTTTAATTTTTTTAATTATAAATTTATTTATCTAAAAACTATATTTTTTCATAATTTATTGTATTACTCTATATATGTGTTATATGAGAATAAAAAATGAATTATATGTGTATGTATGTGTACGTATGTGTATGTATGTGTATGCACGTATGCATATATGCATATGCATGCATATGTACAATTGTATACATATGTACAATTCAGAATTAAATTATATAATTAAAATATTTTTGTATAGGTTTTTTAAAATTTTGAATAATTGATGAATTTATTCATTTATTTGCAGTATAATATAATAATTAATTAGTCGGATTATACAATTAATCTGTATAATAAAAAAAGCTATTAATTTTTTTATCGTTTATTAAACATTTAAAATTATGAAACCATTAAATATCTTCAATTAACATATTTATATGTATCTGATCTTATATCTTTTTTAATATCAAACTTTTTTGAATATATAATTGATTAATATTTAAAATACATAAATTAATATTTAGTAAATTACAAAAAAAAACTTAAAGAAACGTTATTACAAATTATTTTAAATATATAATCGGTAAATAATTTTAATTTTCAGCTGGTAATTTTAGTTCAATTAGCATAACATTTAAACTTGCTCGTGAAATGGGATTCTTCATGATGGATTATTATATACCTTCTATTTTAATAGTTGTTATATCATGGGTTTCATTTTGGCTTCATATGGATGCCAGTCCACCCAGAATCGTATTGGGTGAGTTTAAAAAACATAACATATATCATTTAAGATTATAAATCATTGATTCATAATTTTATTAATAACCAAATATAATATTATGTATTATTTTAAAAAATATTCAAGGTATATATAGTATAAAATTTAAAAGTATTTGTATATATGAATTAATAATATGTGCAATTAATATAAATTCATTAACGCAGAATTATAAATGTATATATTTACTAAAGAACTTAAAATCGGATCTTCAAAAGAATCATTAGAAAATTGTGTTTAAAAAAAAATAAATAAGTGATCACAAACGAGTTCATTTTTGTATTTTTTAAATTATTTTGATCACTGTAGAGTATTTTAAAACTTCATTACTGCAATATTTTCATTTAAATATTCAAAGATAAGATAACAGCTTTAAGACTTAGCATCACTATAGGATGAAATATTGTTTCTTTTAAACACTGTAATGTAGTAGAATAGATAATTAAAATACATCATTAATTTATATTTGTTTCCAATTTATACAAGAATGAAATTTTACTATTTATTAAATGGTCTTAATTTATAAAATTTTATGATAATTTATAAAAAATTTCTAAATACGAAGTTATCAGATTTTTCATTGTTTTCCAGTTTATAAATTTTATTATTTCAATTATAATTTTATTTGATATTAAAAATCATAGAAAACTTACTTTATCTTTTACAATGAAACACAGAATACGAAAATTATGTCTACGTTAAAATTCAGATGTTAGAACAGTTATCTCTTGCACATAAAATTCATTACGTTGATATCTTCTCATGACATATTACTTCTTTTATCTTTTCTTGTAAATAATATATATTTACTTTAAATAAGAGATATAATAATAACTAAAAAAACTAAATATACAATAAATTTATGTACAATAAATGTGCAGATAGAATAAATTAAATTAAATAAATAAAAATTTTACGTATTGCAAAAATTTTTTTATATTTCTAGTGATGATATAAAATAAAAAATGTAATTAGAGCACATAACTGTAAAACTTATAATTCGTACATCAATAAAATATCTATAAGTGATCATTTTCATAACTACTTGATTATTTAAACATTTTTCAAGTTTAAAATTAGTAAAGTAAATTTTCTTTTTACAAAAATAAAATAAAAAATTTTCATAAATGATTATAGATTATGATCTCGTACTATAACTTTTCATATACTATTCTTAGACTATATACTATGCTGTAACTGTCTGTAATAGATGTTGGTAATTTTAAATATTTTATATGAACACTAAATTATTAATAACTTAATAATTCAAGGATTTAACTATAAAAGCATATATGAATAATATAATCGAATTATATATTTTTACTAATATTTTAGGTACGAACACAATACTCGCATTTATGACACTTGCATCGAAGGTCGAAAATTCCTTGCCGAAAGTGTCATATATCAAAGCTAGTGAAATTTGGTTTTTAGGATGCACGATATTTCTCTTTGCAGCGATGGTCGAATTCGCATTCGTCAATACAATATATAGAAGAAAGTAAATATTTTTTATATTTAAATATTTTCAATTTTTTAGAAATTTTCCAAATATTTGATATAGAAAATCAAATTTAAACTAATTTTTTCATTAATTAATATTCAAATAACTTTGTTTCTGATAACTTGTCGACTTAATTATTTGTATGATAGAATACTATAGGACTTACAGACTTACTTTGTTCATGTTTACATAAGTATTTACATTTATATAGGTAGAAGTTTAATGAAGCATGATAAAAACTGAATCGAGAATTATACAAAAATTTGTTATGTTTTTTTATTAAGACAAAATTGTAAATGTTATTTTAAATTAATCGAATCTAATAAGTTTAAAAACGGGAGGAGTGAAAGTTATTGATCATTAATTAATTCCTAATGACTGAGTAATTATTTTAAAATTCAAAAAGCTATCAACTATTAACTGTTTGTATGTAAATAATTACTAAATCGTTGTTATAAACAATAACCGCTTTTATTATTAATATAAAATCTTACTTGTTTGAATTCAGATATTGCTTAATTTTTTTTATATTAATTAAAAAAATTGGAAGAGTATTGATATAAGTTTTTGTAATAGTGTTTATTTTAAAATAATAAGTTTCTAATATATAATATTTTTAAAATTCTATTTTTATGAATACGAATATAAAATCATATTTTTCTTCTTAAAAATAAAACTTTTAAATATTCAGAATTAGATTTCATTTTTAAAGAATATTTTATAATTAAATATATTATCTTTTTATAAAATTAAAGTTTGTAATAGAAGAATCTGGGCATTACTTTAATAAATGTAAATTTTTATATTAATGATTTTTTAACGTATTTAACATTTATCTAAATAAATAAATAACAATGATAGTAAATAGAAAATTTACTGTTTCGTTTTATTTGTATTAATTAATAAATTGACAGTTATATTATTGCATTAATAAAAAAAATTGAAATGCAATATTTTATTATTTTTGAAAGTAAATTTCAAATATTTTATACTATGGCAAATTAATTAAACTATTTTGCAAATACTTTGATAATTTTCTGTCAGGTGATCACTAGATCTGATAATTATTATCTCTTTGTGCAATTAGTCTAAAGTTATATATTTATATCTACCTAAAGAGTTATTATATCCATAACAGAAGTTATTACTACCAAATAGTTCTGAAAATATTTTTTTTCTTTCTTTTATGATAGAATAATCAGTTTCCCTTTTGATCTCGAGCAAATTACACTTATAAAAAAATAATTCAAAGTTTGCTTCTTAAATAACCTATCTGCTTGATTTATTGTCAGCAAATATTCGAGTATTTACAAAGATTTAATAAAGCTCGTGTAATGAATTTAAAAATATTTCAATGTACCATATGATATTTATTCTGTATGTATTTAATCATGATGTTTTCAAAAGTCCTTATAATAACCAGTTTTAATAAAATAATTGTTAGTATTTAATAATTATTTGGATAATTATATATTTTCAGAACATACACGATCCACAGTACAATTTTAATTAGGTCTTTAATGTATATGAATTTTATTTATACTTTATTTCATATACGACTCTTTAAAAATTTAAATAAATTTTGTTGACATTTTATTTTATTTGCATAAAATATTAATTTATTAACTGGATATTTATAATAATATTTCAATTTTTATAAAATAAAAGTTAATTCATAATTGATATAGGGTTTAATTTAGAAATGAACTTACCTGTGAGTAAACTATACTACTTTAATAATTCAAAATCATGTCATTTTAAAACTGTATTATAATTCGTATTTATTTGTATTTATTAATTAGAAGATATTTATTTATATTTTTTCAAACTCCCATTTTGTATATTATTTGTAATGATTACTCAAAAATTATTTAAAGTCGTATTTTAATATTTACTTCATCTAAAAACATAATGCTATTTCAATAAAAGAGAATTTAATTATAATAAATAAAATATGATATTTCTTTCTAATTCTATAGATAGTACATAGGTAATTTTATGTGATAGGATATTATTATGGAAATATTAAATCTTTTTTTTAGTAATTCAATAAACGTATTCAATAGTTCTTAAAAAATATAATATTTAGATGAGAAATTTTAGATTTTGATATAGAACTTTGTGCATTTTTTAAAAATTTTTATCTACCTCATTCCAAATTTTGAACATTTAAAATAAAACCATATTCAATATAACATACTATTATGATATCGTTCATGTTTGACGGTATTATGAAAGAAGTAAATATGATTAGAAGCAAAAAATATAATACAAAATTCATTTTTATCTAGCCAATAGATTTTAATTGCAGAAAAAATGTGCCTTTAAAAAAAGTTAATAGCAAGTATATTCTAAAATCGACATTGACACCGAGACTCGCTCGAAAACAATTTCAAAAAAATACAACAGGTATTGAAAGATCCCGCTCTTGGTCATCTCTTGACAACGGCAATATCTCTGAGAAAGACTACATGAGTCAGAATTATCTCACAATACATGTAAGATACGATAATTATCTTGACAAATGATCTTTTTACATATTATACAATTACAGTCTTTAATTTAGTAGTCAAAATTCTATTAAACTAATCTGAAATCTAATTTCTAATTTCAATTCCAGTTTTACAAAACAATATTTAACAAATTTTAAATTGCATATATATGTATTGAAAATGAAAAATACTTAAGGTATAGTTATATGAATTTTTCTAAAATGTATATTTAAGATATATTTATTTGAGTAATCAAAATAAAAAAATATATTTATATTTAAGCATATAACTTACACCTGACATTCACAAAATAGAGCTTAACATAAAAAATGTAACCTATAGATATTAAAATATATGCGTACGATTTTTCGTTTTATTAAGGCATAGAATAAACAAAAAATTGATAAGAAATATGAAAAAACAGAATTTATCTAAATTATATTGAATAGATTATTCATGACTAAATAGAAATTATAATTAAAAACGTAATTAACTTCTAATAAATAAAATATAAATAATTACTATAATTTAATTACGATTAGTATTTTAATACATTTGAAGTTATCTCAACTTTTAAAAAGAATATAGCCAAAGTGCATTTTTATGTATAATATAAATAATTCAGGAAAAATTTATGACCAATATTATAGAAATTATTGTAGATGTTATTTATATTATATATTATTTTCAAAATCACTGTAGCACTGTAATATTACACTTGCTAAAAATAGTTATCAATTCCGACAGAGCTTTCCAAGTACGATAAACGTTCCAGCAGTAAGAATAGATAATGAGAAAGATAATTCAATCGGTAGCATGGTGACAATAGACGGCAATCCATCTCCTCCACCTCCGCTGCCTCCCGCTAAATCCATACAGAGGCGATCGACCCTTGTCCAACTTAACACTTTCACGACCATGACACCCCAAGAGATTGCACAATGGATTGACAAACGCAGTCGCATTGTCTTCCCCGTCGCATTTCTCATTTTTAATATTCTTTACTGGTCGTTCATTTGGATATGACAAGAAACAAGTCGACTCTCAGAATTTAAAGATAAACATTGTATTTCATTTAAAAATTAAAATTTTGTCATTTATAAATACATGTGCATTATTTTATAGATATTTTCGATCGACCAAATCAACTAAACATGAATTAACCAAATATGAAATGGATAAACAGCTACGTTATGAAAAACTATTTACTAAAATGAGAAATGCTGCAACAGTAATTTTTTTCAAACACATTTGAAGCTAACGAAATTTGGAATTAGATAAATGGATTTTTTTTCATTTATATATATACACAATTTTTTAAATATGTAGATTTTTTAATTATATAAAAAACTAGAATGAATAAGAATATCAAATAAATTTATAATAAGAGTCTACAAGACTTGATTTTACATTTTGTAGATATCAAAAAAATTCAAATATTTTAAAGTAATTATTAAAAATATGAAGAGAATATCTTAATATTTAAAATAAATATTTAAAAATTAAAGTAAATATAGAAATAATTATAAAGTTTGTAATATGTTTTAGTATACAAAAAAAATATTTTTTGGTGTAATATAATAAAAATAAATATATTTTTAAAGTTTAGATATTAAACATGTGATACTTGTACACTTTTTTTATAATTTATTTTCAAGGAATAATCAATAATTTATAATTATTTTATAAAATTTATAAATTGTAAGATTGTTATTTCAGATAAATGGCTGTTTTAGCTTAAAAAATAGTTTCCTAAATAGATTGTAATTGGATTCTTCCATAAGTTATATCTCTTATATAGGTTGTATTTTAATTTTGAACCAGTTAATATGATTTATTACTTTAGAAAATAAACTTATAAATTTTGTATACTATTTAAAATTTGCATGAGTACATTTTACTTTGATTTTAATGAAAACACGGTCTTGCCCATTATTATTAATCTAAAATTATCAATATTATAAATTTGAAATTATCAATATTATCAATCTGAAATATATAAAAAATTGAATATTGTTCAATTACATTTGACCTCGTTCGATTTTATTTATATCGAAGATTTTGATTTGTGGATTAATTGTCATTTTCATTTTTATAACTATATTTCTTCTCTAGTTCCTTTTTTTTTCTCTCTTGAGTATATCTTTATATTATCTTTTTATTTGTATATTATCTATTTATCTATTTATATATTATCTATTTATATATTATAACGAAAAAATTAAGTAACATGACAGTGATTACATTGTTTTTTCATAATCGAGGAATATAAATAATTAAGACCTAAAGCTATTTAAAAATACTTAGAAATTTATAAATTGTAATGGCTACTTGAATACAATTTTCAATATTTCATTTATAATATTATTTGTATTATTAAAATAACATAAGATATAAATAAATTATATATATATATATATATATATATATATATAGTTATATATTTGTTCTTAAATGTTTAACCACCCAGTAATTATTATTAACATTTTATATTGTTTTATCTATATAACCTTAATATATTAACATTTGAGTAATATTATAAACCCCTTCTATATTTTTTTATTTTGATGTAAGTTTGAAATAAATTTTAAAAATATAAAAGTATTAAAAATGTAATATCATAATTGTTTTATCCTATTATTCATATATTACAGATCTTTTCTATACTTTAATATTTATACTCATATTATTTTAATGGTTGAATTACGAATAATTAATTATCAGACATAAGAAAATATGTCTTAATTCAGAGTAAATTATACAGTTTCATCGATTATTTTGTTATGAAACATTGTTTGATAACTGAGTTTTTAATGATTCCTGAAAATAATAAAAAATATTTATCTCGCCGATCACAAAAATTTACTCAATATTTTAAAAGATGAACGACAACAGTAAAATTCTTAGTATTTATTTTCAAATAAATCAATACTTCATGTCTTGTTGTGGAATCTGGCCTTATCAATCAAAAAAATCAGCCAGATTAATTCGTATATTTTGGAGTTTCATGCATATTAGTGTTTTACAAATCGAGGTAATAAGCTTTTTAATAATTATAAATTTTTTAAATAATAATGTTTGATTTAAATAAATTTATTATATTTAGCAATACAATTTTAGTATTGCAATATTATAAATAAAAGCAATATTATTTATATTATTTATTATAATATAATTATTATAAAGTATATTCAAAATGATTGATCTTGTGGTCATTTATAATTTAAACAACTTTTAATATATTAATTTTATTATAGTACATAGAATAATTAAAAATTTGTTTGAAATTTTGAAATGTTTCTTAATTTTTCTTCAACATATTGATAAAATAAATATTTATTATTTACAGTAAACAAGTTTTTATCATCTTCAAATTTAATTTATAAAAATTTTCATTTACAATTGTAAATGTATACAATAAATAAACTATTAAACTTCTTAGAACTTATATTTTCTGATTATTGTCAATTAAAATATTTTTTGGTAAATTAATGTAATAATTCATTCAAATATTGTAACATACGTGTATTATCATTATTAATTTATATGATAATTTGTATTTTAATATATGAGTTTTGTAGAAAAAAATATGTAACATATAATCCTAATATAGAATATAATGAATACATACATGTGCCAGATTAATTAATTTTACTATAATAAGGTAGAAGTATTTATTTCCAATTATAATTTAAAAAAATATTAATAATTAAAATGTGAATTATAGGCTTTCAGTTTATTTAGGTATTGGGATAATACTGATACTGTTATTCAAATTACTATTTTATTCTTTTATAATATAATTTTAAGTATAATATTTAGCAATTCAATTCATCATCAAACAAAGGTAACTGTATTGTATTTTATTATCTTTAATATAGCGGTATTTTTATTATAAAAATATTAAATTACCTTTCATGATGTCATTATATTAGTATAACATTAGTTTAAGAGTGGAATTTAAGTAGATGTCAATATTTATTAAGTTTCTTTTGAATTTTATTCAAGTTCATTGTCCCTATCAATCAAAAATCACCAAAGAACAAGACTTTTGCAGCCTTATCGGTCATACACTATTAATATCTTAAGAAGATCGATTTCGACTTTTTGTAATCAGTATATAATAACGTTTCCAAAATTAATCATCAATCTATCAATATTAGCATTTTTCAATATTTTATTAATAATATAAACAATAATTTTTAAACAAATATACACATGATAAATTGACAATAAAAATTAATTGTACATGCTCAAAAAAAGGTCAATATATTTAAACTTAGTTATTTTAAAACAAAATCGTAAAGTGAAAGCATTTTATTAATTCTTATTTAAACTATTTAAAACAATTAACGGTATTTTATTATTTAATAGTGAATTTACTTTATTAATTCATTTTAAACATATGTATATTTAATATATTTATTTAGATATTTTGTTTTGAAATAACTATAATACAAAATTAAGTTTCATTTCAGATAAAGTATCTTCTAGAAAAAATATGTATTAATTGGAAAAGTTTATCTGATAAAAAAGAACAAGAAATTTTATTTCGTTATTCTGAAATTGGAAAAATAATATCTCGGATATGCATTGGTGAGCAAAAATAATATTCTTATAAAACATTGATTTGGATAATATAATCTATCTAAATAGTTGAAAAAATTATAAGCCATCGATGTAATATTGCAATGTAAAATAATCAATAAAATAATATCAATAAACTAGTATTATTTCAATTAAAAGTTTAATATAATTTTTTGTAGGTACCACTATTGGTTCATTATTTTTTATTATTGTACCTCCTATGGTATTATTCATTCAAGATGAACTTCAATATTATAAAGGAACAAGAACAGAATTAAACTTATTCATTCAGTATCCTATTGAAAATAATGAGTATTTTTACTTGTTTTTAATACACGCCTTGACATCAGGTATACTTGGTATTTTTCCTCTTCTTTCACTCGACTCATTTACAGTAAATTATGTTCAGCACGTCTGTGGAATGTTTGCAATACTAGGGTATATATTTATTTTTATTTATAAATAATTACTTTATTTGGATTATAAGCTCGTTAGTCTTATACAATTTTTTTATTTATAAATACAATTAACATATTATTGATTTTAATATTTATAAATATGAAAAATTTTAAACTCATATTATCTTAATAATATGACAAGTATTAAAGTTCGATAATGACTATGATATTTGTCAATTTAGAAGACGACTTGAAAGTACTATAAAAAATGAAAGAAATAAATTGTATGATAAAACGTATCAAGAAATTCTTAATTGTATTATTTTACATAATAACATTCTTGAGTTAAGAATTATTAAAAATATTTTACATAAATTTTTTTATAGTTATTCATTTTACAATAAGTAATAAAAATGATCCTTCTCATTTTTAGTTTAGTGGATGAATTTAATGATATTGTTGGTACTTCATTTGCTATAATAATATTAATTTTAATATTCCTTACTTGCACAAGCAGTATTGCGGTAAATATATTGCATTTTTAAAATAAGTTGTATAGAAATTAGATTAATATTTAATTTCATTAATTAGTCAAATGTGTAGTAAAATATTTATTATTTATAATTATATATTAATATTCTTAATAAAAATATCTACTTTAATACACCAAATATAATTAACATTAAGTTCCATAGTTTAATCAACTTTGTTCTTTTGTTATAAGTTAGTGATTTTGTTAACATGATTAGTTCACATGTCTTATCATTAACATTTTATTAAAAATAGAGGGTTTAGCGAATTTCAATGATAATAAGCAGTTATTTTAGTATTTGTTTAACTATAAATAATAAAAAATAAAACACTATAATTTTTAACTTATTATTATTAAGTTTTTATTTTGTAAGAAGGTTGAAAATATAAATATAAAGGGATAAACTCGAGTATTAAGCTTGCAGTAATACTAATTAAATATTTATTTAATATTTGCATTTTATATATCTATTATTTCTAAGATTTAGAAAAATACGAAAATTTCTATATTATATTGTATTAGTACTTTTACAGGAATTTGATATGCGAAACAATGTGCAAAATATCTAATTTTTACGAATATTTTCTTTTACATGTCTGAACTAATATTAGAATCCACGGTTTGAATATTCTATCTATAGAATACTTTTTCTATAATATAGAATTTTAATATTATTCTTTCTGTGATATTAATATTATTAATGTATCATATATAACGAAGGAAATTACATTTCTCATTTGATATATGTTGTTTTGACTGTGTTCTATTTGCATTTATTTTTAATAATCAAAAATATTTATATTGATAAGCTTTTTTGAGAAACACTTATTACTATTTTTTCTATAATTTGTAATTTAATTTAAAAGTATATAATATTTTATTATATGTTATAATATATAACAATGATTTATTTATAATAATATAACAATAGGCTTCAAGGTTGAATCTGATTTAATTTTTAAGTATTACTGAATCAGATTTATCACATCTTGATACTAATTGGAGATAGCAATACGTTAAATAAAAAAAAGGATCTTAATTAAAAAGAAAAAAGTATATTTGGTTTCTGTCTTGATTATAAATGTATTATTTTTATACTTTTATATTATTTTAATAATAGTATACCCTTACATATTTTTTCTATTTCTTTATTTATTTCAGAATATTAAAGGACAATTTCTAGAACAGTATTTAATCTATTTATTTTTAGTAACTTTCGTAGAGATAATAATATTTGAAATACAATTCATCTAATTTCTTTGAATATTAATTATTACTTTTTTATACGTAATCATTTAATTTATTTTAAATACATCAATATTATCTTTTTCAGAATAAATATTTAAAGCTTGTAAAGAAATTTTCACGATAAAATTTGTTTTTAGTTTTATTTAATAACTTCGAAATTCTTCGGTTTATTATTATCCAATATATATTTATAAAAGAATCGCTTAAAATAAAATACTTATAACAAATATACTTTTAATCCATATACATAAAATAGTATTAATGCTTATATATACATTTAATAGTATAATACATATATATTATAGTAATTATTATTAAGTAATTATTACATAAAATATTTATTTTCAATGTTTGTATTCAAATATTATATTTGTAAATTATTAATTTAATGTAATATATATTCATAAGAATTTTTTTATGAAGATTATAAAACTTAGCATTACAATGAAAAATCTTCTTTATAACAATGACGTACATAAAACATTTTAAAAAATTTCCAGATTTTCATTCTATGGGAAAATGCAAAGGAAGTAATGCGGTATTTGCTATTTACATTTTTGGAATTATTACATATGTTCTGCTTCGCTTTTCTCAGTCAAGATCTAATGAATCACAATAATAAAATATACAAATGCATGTAATTACTAAAATAATTTTTTGTAGTTATAAAATCATTTAAAATATTTTATGGTCATTTTCAGTATAATTTATACATTATTGAAGCTTTCTCTTTTATTCAGATTCAATTCTGGATGGTATAAGTCTTCAGCAAAAACTGGAGGACTTATAAAAATGATGTTTTTACGATGTTCAAGACCGTGTTTAATACAATGTATGACTTATCCACTAACCTTAGAGAATTTTTTATCAGTAACTATTTTGTTTTATTGTTAATCGTTTAAAAATCAGTAAAAATAAATTTAGCATATAATTTATTTTTAAGGTGCTGAGACATACATTTTCATACTTTATGGTTGTTAGATCGCGTATGCTACAAAAAGCATAAATAATAAGTGCTAAAATAGTGCAATTTAAAAGTTAAAATATTTGACTATAAGATTTATAAGTTTGTATTACAAATAACATTGATTTAAGGAACTTACCGTAATTTAATTAGTTAAATATACGTTCAAATATATTTTAATATTAAGAATAATAATTTCGTATTTTAAATTATATTTAAAGTTTCATAACAATTTTATTTTATTTCAATCCAATTAAAATGTTATATTATCATATATATACATATATATACGAGTATATACATATCACGTGTATTATATATTATTGCTATTTGTTTTATAAAAATATACTTTAAAAATTTTGTCAACTTATATAATATTTTATTTTTATGTTGTAATTGTACGTTTGAAATTTATTTATCAAAATTAAAATTATAGAAAAAATTCACCATCAATGTTTAAGATGTTTAATACTAATTCTTAATCTAATTAAATTATTAAATTGCTGCAAATATAATCAAAACTACCAATATAAATTTTTTTAAAGTAATAACTTTCAGTTAATTATAAATTATTACTATATAGATTCTCAGGAAAGTTATGATCTATAATTTATCAAATGCTGAAATGTAAAATAAAATAAATACAAATTTACGTACTACTTTTTAGTTAAAAAGTGTTATGTAATGGCCATATTAATCAAAAGTACTGTAGTAATGTAAAATATGTAGAATATATTATTTTACCTTTTTTTAAATCTTAAAATTTTCTATTATGTGTATAATTAAAAAACTCATGTTTTAAAGAAAAATTAAAAACATTAGTAATTAAAAAACCAAATTCTATTTATAAAATTGAATATTAAATATAAATTTTCTGTAAGCACTACAAATTAGATAATGAAATAAAAGGTTGAATTTTCTTCGATAGTAATTATTTACATTTTATTATTGAAAGTATATATTTCAAAACTAATTCAACCTCTCCGTATTTTATTATATACTACATATTAATAATTAATTCACATTCATTTTTAATTATGTCATATATTAATGGTAGAAATACTTTTTTAGAGTATAAAAATATATTTCTTTGAAATAGATATTTCTATATAATTATTTTTTTATAGTGAAAATATTATTAACCTATGTTAAGAGATATTTATAGAATAATTTATCTATTTATCGATTATGGAATAAGAAAATGTAACTTAATTTCTTACCTACGTAATTTTAGTCTTCTTTAGAATAATTGCATTAACATTATATTTAATATCAAGTACATGAACATTAAGAAAATTATAACCTATGACAATTTAGAAGATAAGATAACAATATGCGAGTAAAAATTAAATTCAATAACATAAACTTAATATTGACCACAATAAATATAGAAAATAATGTAAGTATATAATTGGAAATAGTTTCCATTTATTCTCACAGTAATTTTAGATCTTTTTAAAATGATAAAATTTCGTACTCATTCTATTAATGTTTATTATCAAATAAATAAAATTTCTATGTTACTCATTGGACAGTGGCCCTATCAATCTAAAAATTTAGCAAAATTTCTTACGTACATTTGGATTTTTCAGTATGTTAGCATTTTAATACCCCAAGTATGTAAAAATGTATACATATTAAAAATAATTGTATTTTAATTACTATAAATTTTTTAGTTTATTAAATTAATTGAAGTTATAGATAACATTGACCATACAATTGAATGTTTTGGGCCAATTATATATAATTTAGGAGTTGGAATAAAATTTTGTAATAACATCTTCAATAGAAAACAGGTATAAACATACAATAAAAATATATTAATATTAATATATTATATATTAAAAAATACTGTTGTCATATTTTATAATTCTATTCGAATAATTATTTTCTGTCGGTAGCTGATGCATTTGTAAAATTAATTTAAACTTTATAATCATTAATATTATTATTTATTTAAACTTACATAAATTTATAGTAACATTAGGTATACATTGTTTATAAAGTATACCCACTAATTTTAATTACGACAATAAAATGACTATGTATAGTTAAATAATTCTTAATTCAATTTTCTATTTGTCCTCTTAGGTATAATTAAAATTCAAACGATTTTTATTTATCTAATAAAAAAGAAATTATTAAATTATTTAAAGTTAAATCTTGATGTATCAAAATCACATCTACAATCTAAAACTATTAATTGAAAATCTTAAACTGAAAATATGCATAATTTTTAAAATACTAATAATTATCACATGTTTTGACAATTATATTGATTGGATATTTCTAAATTTATTTCAAATTTAATAAATTTAATTGTAAACTAAATTATAAAACCATACTAGTATTATATAAATTCAGACATTACTAAATAATTTAATAATTACATTATATGTATTTGATGGTTATTTATTATTTATTTATTTATTTTATCGTTATTTCATAATGATTTCATTGTTATACTTTATACTTATTTCATCATGAACATGGCTTTATTCATTATTTATGAAAATTTTACTTAAATATATACATTTATATATTTAGTATGAGAATTATTTAATAATATTATAATTTCTTAGAAGTTATATTATAAAAATTTAATTAAATTTATACTTATGCTTACTAATATTTGAATAGCAAAGAAATATACAAATATATAAAAATGATTAATGAGATACCACTAAAAATAAGAAATTAATTTAATAATATAGTAGTATTTATTAATGAATCACATTTGGGATTTGAATAGTATATTATTAACGAAAATTGATATAATGTATGTGCAAGAATTATTGAAGAAATTACCATAATATAAAAATATGTATGAAAAACATTGTCAAATTTTGTAAAAATATTGTTAAGGTATCAAATCAATACATCGAGATACATTAGATAGATGTTATTTAAATAATATATTGTATATAGTAAGAATTATAGATAGTTCCTAAAAATTTTTCTTAAATAATTAAAATTAAAATTTCAATTTCAATTTGTAATTAAAACATGCTATTCAGTCATGAGAGATAATAGAAAATTTCCAAATAAAATGTGATCATCTATTTCATCTATTATGCTATACGTATTAAGAAGTGAACTGTAATTTATTTTTCAAAAAATTTATTTTACATAAAAACCAATAAAATCTGAAATATATACGTAATTATTCACAAACAAAATTTTTTTAATTTACTAACAAATGTCAATGTTTTTTTTAGATAAAAGCTTTATTTGATGAAATTCAAAAGGACTGGAATAACATAACCGACGAAACAGAAATAATATTACTTTCAAAGTACGCTTCCTTTGCAAAATTTTTAAATTTTGGATACAATTGTAAGCAATCATTATTAAAATCAAATGAATAATATAGGTTATAATGTATTTTATTTTAAAATAAATTAGTTAAAAGAATATATTATATAAATTTTATATATTGTTATATTAATAACATTACAAATTAGAATTAAAATAAACATAAAATAGTATTCAAATCATAATCATTTTATTTTATTTCTTTTACGTAATACATAGAAGTTACTTTTTATATGGTAACAATGAAATAAAGATTAATAAATGTTTCAAATAATTGTATTAGATCAAGTAACTGTAAAATACTTGAATTTTCTATTAAAAAATCAAATTCAATAAAATACTACTATATATATATACTTATAATATGTTTTTAATTAGATTTTAAGATATAAATTTTATTGGTACCACTCCTTAAGTCAATAGATTATATACGTAATATTATTTATATATTAATATTTTTTTATTAAAACAAATATTCCATAGATATGTGTTATAGTACTATGTGCTGTTACTTATTCCTGCCTTTATCATCATTTATAATGGACATAATAAAACCATTAACTGATACAAGGCCGAAAAATCTAGTTATATTTGTTGAATTTTTTGTCGATGAAGAAAAATATTATTTTTATATAATGATACACTCTTATATAACAACGATATTTGGTGTTCTAGCAGTGGTTAGTACCGATATGTTTTACACTAGCTGTGTTCAACATGCCTGTGGTATGTTATCTATTCTCGGGTATGTTTAATCACTAAATCGTCTAAAATTGTTAATAATAATAAAATGCATACAATAATGAGAACATTTATTCCTATATTTAGTAAAAAATCTTTCTATGATATATATTATACTAGCTCACAATTGAATACCACTTGTTAATGTAACTAAATAACTTATTAAATTAATAAAGATTATAAATACTCTGTAAAACTAAAAATTTTAATGTAATACAAGATTATTATTTAAATATTAGTATTATCTACAAAGCGAATAGTAATTGAAATGAAAAAATTGATGTTTACGGATTAAAGTTCACATAAAGGACTATGAAAAGTATATTTTAATTACATTCTGCTATTCCTAATTTCAGTAGAATTATAAAAATGTTTTAAAAATTATTAAATTTCAAACATCAATAAATACTACTAGATACTTAAGTTTACAAAAACTTGTGATAAAAGGTTACTGTTAATAATCACCTATTAAAAATAATTACATATAATCAAACATAATTATAAATATGATACAATTAAATTAATTGACATCATTAAATATAATTAAAAACATTTAAATATAATTAAAAATATTTAATAATAAATTATATTGAAATATAATTAATATTAATTAACAGTAATCCTATACATATTCAAAATTTGGTCCTAATTGATAAAATTATTTACTATTATAAAGTAGTAAGGGTTAGATTTTTAAAAAGTTTAGATGAAAATTAAAATTAATTATGGATTTGTTAATAAATTATTAATTATCTATATTATCATGACGTATTGAATTTTTTTACAAAATTAATAACAATCAAGTATTAATATTTAAATTTATATTAAAATAAAATTAATGCTTTAATTAATTCAACGTATTATCAATATTAATATATTTGAATAATTCATTTGTAGATATTCATTTAAATACTTTGGAATGTATTTTTATATAATAAATTGCTTCTATAGTGTACAAATGATAATATAACTAATTAAATTTAATTATAATAATTAACCTATATGATATTTATATTGATATATTTATTATAAACATAATATTTGTGATGTTCATTCGTAATAAATTATAAAGATTTATCAAAATTTAAAGGCGTCGGCTTAAAATGATTAACAAGGACACCAATATTATTAGAAAATTTGAGAATGATTTTTATAAAGAATTAGAGGATGCTGTTACTCAACACAACAAGATAATAAAGTATAAAATTTATATTTGTATATTTGAATGTATAACATAAATTACTCTATAATTTAATCCTTGTTTTTAGTATAAAACAAGGTATATACTTTTATAAAAAATAAATAAATGTGATTCAATGTATAGTAAAGTTAATTTTTATACATTTGACTAAAATATTATTTCGTTTCATAGATATTGCGAGCGTATAAACAAAACATACGGTGATTCCTTTTTTTTTATTTTGGGCTTAAACATGTTTGCCATGAGTTTTACTGGAGCTTTAGTAATAATATATTATCTAATTATTTCGTTTAGCAAAAAACATAAACATTCTAATTATAATGACAATAATGTAATTTAATTAGATAATTCGAAAATGGGGACTGTATTATGATATAATAAGAAATGGAATGTTCGTCGGGAGTCAACTATTTCATCTCCTCTATTATAGTATTCAAGGCCAACATCTAATAGATCAAAGTTTAATGATAAGTGATTGCATGTAATAATAATATATTAAAAAAATAAATAATAAGCATAAACGTTTTATATATTTTTCTAATTTGAGAAATAAACAAATTATTGATTTCTAGATATGAATCTGGATGGTGTACAATATCACTAAGAATGAAAAAAATTATGACAATAATGATAATGCGCAGTTTAAAACCAATAACAGTTAGTGCCAAAGTCTTCATTATTTCGTTAAGTAATTTCACTATGGTATAAAAACAATATTTTTTAAATATGATGTATGTTATAAATAGGAACTTAGGGGTTAAAATTTTATTTTAGGTAACTAAGGCTTCTGTATCTTACTTCACAGTGCTAAAATCTTCTAGTTAATGATAGAAGATCAATGACAGCAGTCTTGATAATTTTTAACAAGTATATCAGTTAAATGTTTTCTTCCCTCATTGACGAATTTTAAGATTTTTTCATTTTACAAGCTCACACAGTCTATCGACAGTTGCAGTCACACTTTCACATATACAATTTATTATTATATATAATTTTGAAGTTAGTTAAAATAAGTTTTTTTAATTTAATTATAAATAAACTTTTGATTATTATATATATATTTTTTTCTTCATTTTTTTTTAAAAGAGATTTAAAATAAAATGATATAACAAAAATGTAATATTATTTAACTAATTGTAAAGAAAATATTGATATTTTTATTTTTACATAATTTGAAATTTCATCGGCTGGACCAAATACCGATGCTAATGACATATCATGTTTTCAAAAAGCATGCTAATTAAAAAAAGTTACAATCAAGAGCTATCGATATTCAATGCATTTGTCGATGAGTGAATTAATTTAAAAAATAAATTAAAATAAATTTTTATTAGAGTCAGGTATCGGTATTTTCTTTATTTCTTTAAATTTCCGTAGCACCTAAAATTACGGTACAATTCTATATACGCTCATAAAGAACATATGTATATACGTTTTAAAATCTTTACAAAAATAGCAAGTATTGGATTTCGATAAATTGCCTTTGTTAAAAAATATTAATTGTGTAGGAAAGGATTATTTGTTAACTTTATAATATTTTTACATATTTTGAAGAATGTATTTTTATTTTTATATGCGCCCTCTACCGCGGAAAAGTAATATAAATTTATTTGTCGCTTTTTTGTACCATTTCAATAAAATTAAATCTACCTCCGTGTATTACCGCATACTGCATAAATTAATTATTATCAATTGTTTTATTTTCATTGTTTGAGTAATTTATGATTATGATGACATAGATCACTATAGCGCATACTAATTACGATAAGTATTTGTAAAAATAATTTTAATATACTACTAAATATACCATTTTAATAAAATTATTTTTCTAAAAATGGGACCTTTAAATAATGATTATTATATTGGAAAAGGGTCGCTCTGCCCTCTCGATTTTTCAATAATCGTTTGCCTAAAATGCTGTATTATATTATTACTTGATTTAACATTATGATTTTGAATTTGAAATATTACATTAAAAGTACTAAATTAAAACCGATTCCGCGTTTTATTAAATTTTCTAACGCTATTATTTTTTTGTATAAAAAATATATAATTAATGAAATTACTTATTTCACATACGTAGCTTTAATCTTATTCAAACGCATTGAACGTATCCAACACCAATCGCTGCAAAGATGTTCTGCGCACAATCGAGATAACGACAGAAAATCGCAAACTTCATATTTAATCTTGAAAGGAAAATACTTTCGATAGATCACATCTGTCTATTTTAAAAGTAGTAAAGTATTTTTTAAGCAAAATTATTCGAAAACAATATTCTTAAGAATATTTGGAAAATGTTAAAGTTCTAATTTCCTAATTTTACTATCGAGCAAAATATAATCTTTTATAATTTGTCTTCATTTTCTCCCAGTGATTAGGTAATAATTCCCTAATTTTCTGTACCGTTCTTAATTTCTCTCATTGTAACAAATATGTAATAGGTAATAAGCATTTTTTTTTCAAGAGTCGGATAATCGTGTTATTTATAACTTGTTTCTAAATGCTGCCGATAAGACAAATCTACAAAAATCTCTATTTATTTATTTATATTAATTATTCTTGTATATTAGAGCTTGTCGCTAATTCGATATATTTTTTCATTCAATTAAAAAAAAAAAAATTGTTTATGTCAAATCTGAATTTTTGTTTATTACAAATTTAAATATTTAAAAAAAAAAATATATATTTTTTTTTATTTAATTTCATATATATAAATAAATTGATTATATATTTATTTAAGAAATAAAAATTAAATACTAATCGTTTTCAAAAATAAATTTGCATATTCATAATAGAAATTAGGAAATAACAATTTTAACTAAATATTGTAGTTATAATTTTTGTATACTTTGATTTTTAGAAACGTAAAATCATTTTTATTTTTGCTCAAAATGGCTTTAAGAACCTTAACATTGCTTCGTTATTGGAATAAAATACAAACAAGATGCAATACAGTTCATGCAATATGTAATAAAATTGGTAATCGTGAAATTCTTGGCAATTACACTTTTGCAGAACCAACTTATATAGATCATTGGGTTTTTCCTTTATCCACACTTAGATACAAAGAAATTACACCAAACATTCAGGTAAAGAATAATTGAACAGATGTAGCTAATCAATTTATTAAATAACGAAATGGATATTAGTAATTTTTTTTTTTTTTTTATTTGATATTTTAAAAAGTTAAAAAAATAAATGTATATAATCGTTGTATTAATGAAAAATGCATTTTGCTAAATTTATTACAAGAAATAATAACTTGAATATTAATTGAATATTCCCAATAAATAGATATAAATAGTTTTAAATAAAATTAATAATACCATTTGTATAGACTTTACGAAATAAAGAAAAAGGAGATTGGAGACACCTGTCTATTGCAGAAAAGAAACTTTTGTATAGAGCAAGTTTCAGGCAAACTTATGCCGAATTTAGTGCAAAAACTGGTGAATGGAAAGTTATTCTAGGAGTCGTATTAATGCATTGCACAGTATCTCTGTGGATATATCTCTATATATTATATTACAGTAAAAGTTTTAAAAAATTTTATTCCATACAATTGTTAAAAACTATTTGTTAATCTTATTTAAAATTATTTCAGTTAATTCATCACTTCCTGTTTCGTTCAAGAAAGATTATCTTCTTGCAAAATATGACCGTTTAGACGCATTGAATACGCATGCTTGGAGAAACTTGACCAGTAATCGATAAAAATAAAAACTTATAGTAAGTTCCTATAGTAGTTTAAATTAATAACTGTGCTATAGAATTTTATAATAATTTGCACATAATATATACGAATATGAAATTATTACAATAATGTAACTCAGTTATTCATAATATCAATATATATGATTAAAAAAAAAAGTACATAAAAAAAATTTTTCAAATTTTTCTTCATTCAAATCCAAAAATTTATAAATCATAAACTTGCTTTTCTTTATGTAATTTAAGTTCTTTCATAAATATGTGAAACAAAAACTTTAAATAAAATATAAAAATTATAACGTTAATTTAATTGCTTAGTATTTATTACAATAATTGTTATTAATATATTAATATATAATTATTAATATACCGTTGAATGATTAAATGTATAATCACTTTATACTATATAGGCAAATTATTGTTATAATTAAACTCGCATTATATAAAAAATTAATATTATAGAATTTTAATCATTTATCGTTTTATTAGAGAACAAAAAAAAA